CGGATCGGTCGGGTCGGTTTTTGTCGGCTTTTTCAGTTTGGACCGAACCATGCTTAGCCCTACGAGCAGCTGCTCGGACCTAGTTGCCCAGTTCACTTGTTTGTATGGTTCAAGTCACTAAAGAACGTGTTGTTCGCTACCTGAGGTAGCATTCACTGATTGGTCAGGACCGAACTTTGGGACACGTGGCACCAAGTCTCTATTCGTCTATTTTTTTCATATCCAAGTGCAAGCCGTAGTTGTCCAACAACAGATACAGAATATTGAGCAATAAGCATCTACATTTAGGCTGTGTTTGGTTTGATGGAAAGGGAGAGAAAAGAAAATGAAAGAGAAAGTAAAAAGAAAGGAAAGGAAAAAGAAAAGAAAATGATATTCTTTTTATTGTTTGGTTAGAAAGAATATTGCAATGAAAGTTAGAAGAAAATTCATAAGAAAGTCATTTTCTCTTGTTTAGTTACCTTTCTGAGAAAAGAGGAAGAAAATTATCGCAACATAATTTTAATTCATACTTTTTGAAATTAGATTCATATTATTTGATTCAAATGTTGAGTGGCCATCAACATCGAGTTTGTAAATATTAACAAGCAGAAGCACAGCCACAATTCCGCTAATTAAAGAACAACATTTCTCACACATAATATTTGCAGAAAGAAAGGTCAATGAAAGAACCAAAACAAATCTAAAGAAAATGTCATGATATTCCTAATATAAAGTATAATCCATTTGTAGTCACAAAGTCTATTACAATCAATTTCATATAAAAAATCTTAACCAACAAAATCTATTACAATCAATTTCATATATAGAGAATATTAACTAGAGAGAGAGAGAGAAATATGCCGAATTCCTTAGTTTTTGACTTTAGTGAACCCATCAAAACATCAATCTCGCATCCTTCATCCCCTGAAATTAATTCAAAAAAATTCAAATAAGTAGAATATAAAGGTCCAATATAGTTATAACTTAGAATTTGCTACAAATTATATCTAACACTGTAAAAAGTAAAACATAAACGAAGATGTGAGCGCCAATATAGCTATAACTTAGAAGTAAACCAACATAACTCTCTATCACAATGAAGAAAGATTCCTACACTTCTGCCTATAAACCAACATAAGCTCCAATATAGTTATAACTTAGAAGTAAACCAAAATATTGGCTGCCGGTGTACAAACACCTCATCAATATCCTCTTAATTCCCAAACAAAATATTCACACTGAAGAAACTCTCCTCTTATTAACACAAAAATTCCCTCAATCCCCCAGATGAGCACCTTACAAACAAAGCTCTGATCCATATGACCTTGCAAATTAAACCTAGAACTGTGAACTCATAGCGAGCTGCAGACAAGACTTGAGTCTGTCAGAGGCCACTATGGTACTAGCCCCAATGAAAAGAAAATTTCGGCGGAGATGATGTAGTATGAATGTGGACAAATGAAGTTCAAATACATATCCGAATAAGTGAGACGAGTGCTAATACATATAGATTGTTGTTTTTGTAGTATAACAACATGACAGAAACTACTTGGATCTTTTTACCTTATAAGGAACTACAGTTAAATGTCAACTCATTTATCTTTCAAGTGGTTATGTTAAATATTATCTGCTTCCTATCCATCTAAATCCCAAATCATTTTACCAACAAATAACAAGGGAGTCCAGCTCAAACACCCCAATAACTAACAAGACATTATGAATATTAGAATACAGGTCCAAACTTGGAACTTGGATCAGTGAGAAATTAAAGATGGCTGATTATAAAGGGAGAAGATTTGCTACAAATTATATCTAACACTTTAAAAAGTAAAACATAAACGAAGATGTCAGCTCCAATATAGTTATAACTTAGAAGTAAACCAACATAACTCTCTATCACAATGAAGAAAGATTCCTACACTTCATAAAAGGACATGAACAGACCTTCCTCTGCATTGGAGGGACATGGGGAGGATTTTCGCTCACCCAAGTAAGTCATAACCTTCCCTCCACCATGAACATATCATTAAATGTTTAGGAATGTATTGTTGCATATTAAGATTTTCCTTTGGCAATTGTAAAGCTTCATATTTGGAGTAAAGAAGAAATAAGGAAATTTTTGAATAATTTAACTAATACAGTTATGCATTGAATCTGGAAGACATCTATGGCCATATCCAAAGATGAAACTGCCGTATGATTGTATTCCCCAGTATATTTGTTTTAACCTACCAAGTATATAGCTACTTGCTAGGTGTTCTGACTCTTCAAAGAAAACTAAATGGAGGATGTTCAGAAAATAAAATATGTGATTTAACAATACAGCATTCCTTGAAATGCCTGCCCCAAACGTAAATAAGTTAAGTTCAAGACAGAAAGTATTAGTCGCAACGTAGTACAAAATATGCTCCAATAACCATATTCAATGTAAAAAAAGAACGACTACAAGCAATAAGAACCAAATATAAGTTCATCAAACTTGCCCAAGCCCATGCTTGACTCCCCACTTGAACTCCCCAACATACCAGCTCCCATCCTCGCACGTATGCACACCACACCCATAGCTCTGCCCATTACTCCACCCACCGGCATACACATCCCCCGTATAAAACCGATAGACACCAAAGCCATGTCTCAACCCCTGCCTATACTGCCCTCTATATCGACTCCCCCTCGCCCAGGTCTCCACCCTATACCCATCATACTTATCATCAACCCAATCCCCCTCATACCTCCCACTCATCTAGTAATAATACACCCCGCTCCCTAAACACTTCCTTTTATGAAACTCTCCCTCATACACATCCCCATTGTTATAGACCTGTACCCAAGATCCTGTATTGGGTACATATTAGCATTGGCAATGGTTTGTTTTGATATTTACAAATAAAAGGGTATATATTAGCATTAGCAACTAAAATTTGGAGGGTTAGTTAATTTCTTTTCAGAATGTAACATTAAGCTCAAGGAGTTCCAGTCACAGATACATGCATACATGCACACTCACGTGCACGCATGCGTGCAAGCACACATGCACAAGTATGCATACATATATGCACATGCATATACACACTCTAAAATAGAATTCCAACCCAATCATCTCACATTAATGAAATACTGAAGGTGTGGCTTCATGACAAGAGTTTAACTTTGCGACGGGATCGCCTCGCAGTGATAGCTAATGTTTCACTCTCAGTTTAAGATTACAAATCACAGTAGAAGGATTGATTGTTCTAGTGCAAAATGATATTCATTCACTGGTCAAAGGTGACAAACAAGAGACAACCAGTACATTTGACAAAGAATCAAAGGAAAATGCCCAAGTCATAGTATAAAATCACTGCTAAACTCCCTACTGATGGCTAGTTGATCTGGGCACCACCTCGAACAGACACTTGAGAATATTTTGCTCTTCCAGAAGGTTTTCATTGAACAGGATATTTCAAACTATGTGCTCTAATAAGGTAGATTATAAATTTATACTTCTATATATGTGGTTACAAGCTCTGAACTCACCTTCTTGTCGGCATAAACCAAGGAAATTGCAAATTCTAATAATGCGCAATTTTTTTGAGTTTCTCTTAGTTTTAACAATGAAAACAATTCCTTAAACTTATGAACTAGGTGGTAAAATGCAAACATGTAATTAGAGTGTAAATTAAATTACCTCCTGATACCGATATGTATTTTGGCCATGGACATTTTCCCCAACCATCAAAAGAGTTATATGGGCATCCTTTACAGGTTTGAATGATAAGCTTCATCTCAAATGCCTAAATTCTTGTTAAATTCAAATTAAAGCTAAAAATAAAATGGTCAGTCTCTTGAACTTCTCTACATCGGTACATACAAGAGAAGTAACTAGCCCTAACTCCAAACCATAGATGAATAAAAAAATCATAACTTTCTCAAGATTACCAAAGAAAAAAAATGAAGAGAAGTTGATCCGCTTGATTTAGCGCTACCTCTGAGATCCCTCCGCCTCCATCCCCAGAAACCGCTGCCACCGCCGCCGACGAAGTCGAAACTGAAGAATCCGGCGCCTGCGACGGAGAACCCGAGCGTTTCTTGGTCCAGAGGATCACCAACCGACTCACTCTCTCGTCGAGGTCCACCGTCTCCCGCGAGTTCGGAGCTCCAACCTCGTCAGCGTAGGCCTCCATTGATCGCTAGGGTTTGCTCGAACTAGGGTTTCCTTCGACTAGGGTTTGCTGGAGGGGGGGTGGGGGAGGGAGCGGATTGGGGAGGGGGGGATGGAGTCGACGAGATCGGGGATAGAGTCAGGAATTTTCAAAGAAGGCGTCGGGCGAGATTTTCTCTCCCTCTCTCTCATTTTCGCTCCGTTTGAGTCGGGAAAGGGGAAGAGAACTGAGAACATATGAGACTTTCTACGGTGATTTTAACATTCATTTTCTTTTTAATTTTCTTTCAAACCAAATCAGGTAAAGATACTTTCTATTGCATTTTCTTTTCCTTTTCTTTATTTTCCTCCAAACCAAACATAGCCTTATAGATTTGGAATGAGGAATTGGACAGGGGAAAGGTAAAAAATTATGGTGACGTGTTATAAATAGCTTCAATTTTGTTTTAATTTAGAATCATTAATCCAAAGGTCGTACGCTAAAAGAGCTATATGTGTGGATAAAAGAGTAATTGAACTTCTCCTAGCAACATTGCTGGTTCTCGTGAAGCCCCGGGGTAGAAAAGAAACGCAGATTTGG